GGGAAAGGAAGTTCCTTCACTAATGGTGGTGCTGGAAAAATTCATCAGTTTATCCAAGCACAACTCTCTCAGTTGATCAAACAATTTACTTCATGAACCCAGGAAAGGTGATGCTAGATAAGAATGAGATATTACCTTTAAAGTAGCCATAGTACTGGAGGTGATGGTACATAAAGTCTTCATAGGCCTCAGGAAGAGTCTGTGAAACGACAGGCCATCTCAATCAAGAAAGTGCTTTCATAATTGTAGAGAATTATTATAACAGCCTGTTATAAGAATAATACTGACTCTTAACAAAAGTACACAAGCATTGTTGCAGAGGACACTATACCTGAGAACTTCTGTAAATAAACCATGAGAAAGACATTTGTGCAAATTATTCTATCTTTGGGATTAAGATCTCCAGCCAGAAAAATATGCCACCAGCATATACCTTCGGATCTAGTACTGGATTTCTGTGGAGTGCCTGGAGAGGAGTGTGTACCGACCTGCTGCTTTAGCTCTGTTTCCAAAGCTGGGAACATGTTACTTCTGCATGGTATGCTGAAGACCTGTCAGTGACACCGGCATCCAGCAACAATCCCTGACCAATTTCCAAAAGGGCAGTTGATTACATAGAAGCTAAAAAACCAGAGCAGGACAACTGAAAAACTGTAGAAATTCACCCACGTCCCCTCCCTCCGCTTCGCAGCTCCCACGCTACTTTAGGAAACCCTGCGGTACCGCTCCGTCTTCCCTGCCAACCCAACCTCTCAGATAAACAAGGACCCGCCACGAGGCCCGGATGCGCACCTGAAGAATTTGGGAGAGCGGCTTGTCTTCCAGACTCCTCCTCCGGTGGCGCCAGGACCCCTGCTGGCTCCATGCTTCTTTCCCCCGCCAGTGCAGGCCCCCGCCACGAGGCCCGGATGCGCACCTGAAGAATTTGGGAGAGCGGCTTGTCTTCCAGACTCCTCCTCCGGTGGCGCCAGGACCCCTGCTGGCTCCATGCTTCTTTCCCCCGCCAGTGAGGGAGATGCCCCACACCAAGTCGCCTCAGGAAAGTGAAAGAAAAGGGGATGAGGGGTCCGGCGCAGTCGTCTCGGGGTAGGTGGAAAAGAAAGGTCAAGAGCCCGGAGAGTGAGCTCTGAAAACGGAATTCAGGGATTCAGGGCCTCCTGGTCAGGGAGAAAGTGGCGAAGAGCAGTTTCCCGGAGAGTCGCGGGACGGGGCGTAGAGATCTCCTACGACTGCAGAGGGCGTGCGTACGGAGCCTGTGGCGACAGAGGAGCGTGAGCGAGGCGGGGGACACGATCCGCAGGTAGAGAACCAGTCGCGCACCGACCACAAGACACACTCGTCACGCTCACCGAACACTGCTTTCCACTAGGGCCCCAGTTGCCTAGCAACTACGAGACGGAAGCGGGAGGGCGAGGCGGCCGGGCGCTTCCGGAGAGCGAGGCTCCGCCTCCGAGGAAGGGGTGGGGAACAGGAGAAAAGTCGAAGACTGGCGTTCAGGTACCAAGGATTCACATTCCTCCTTTCCTACAGTATTGCAGCCTGGCTTCTGGGGATTAGAAATTGCATTGATGGGGACTTCCCTGGTGGTCCAGTGTTTGAGACTCCGTGCTTACACTGCAGGGGATACGGATTCGATCGCTGGTTGGGGAACTAAGATCCCGCATGTCCCGTGGCCGGGCCCAAAACCACAAAAAAGCAGCTGTTCCTCAGCTATAGAACTGTTGAGTATTGCTCAAACGGAGCCGCTTCCCCTTTCACCTTCTCTCCATCCCATAGCTAGAACTGAAAAATTACCTCCTACATTGAAAACATACAAGTTAGTAAATTAAAACCACACATTTTGACTATCAAATTGTCAGATTCTAAAAAACGCTCCTTTCTGGCAGGAGAGGGACAAAGGCACTTCGTCCCTGTACCAATTCCTAGAAGTCTGGAAAACTGTTAGGCACTTAAAGCAAAAGCTTTAATGGCTAGTTGACAGCCTCTATTTCCAGAAATATGCTCTACGCAAATTACAAGAAAAACAATTTTATTTTTAAAAATTTTATGGTACATTTTTAAGAATTTGATTTTTTAAAATTTATCTTTCCTGCATTGGGTCTTCCCTGCAGCGTGCGGTCTTTCTCTAGCTGCAGCGAGCGGGGGCCACTCCCCGTTGCAGTTGCGTGGGCTTCCCATTGCAGTGGCCTCTCCGCTGGGAGCATGGGCTCCAGGCACGAGGGCTCAGTAGTTGTGGCTTGCGGGCTCTAGAGCACAGGCTCAGCAGCTGTGGTGCACGGGCTTAGCTGCTCCGCAGCATGTGGGATCCTCCCAGACCAGGGATCAAACCCGTGTCCCCTGTATTTGGCAGGTGGATTCTTAACCAATGCGCCACCAGGGAAGCCCAGAAAAACAATTTATATACAAAACGGTCACCGAAATACATAATGGTAAAAAACCAACACACAAGCATACATGACACTGATTAGACAATTATATGCATATAAATATACTAGAATAAAATTGTAACTATTGTTGTCTTTGGTTAACTTTACATGACTCTAAGTATACATAACTTTTGTAATTAGTGGAAAAAATATAAAGCACCTTTATTTTTTTCACAATATTAACCACGTTACATCATTTCCAGGATTTAAGTAGGCCGAACACTAGCTAATATTATAGACTACAAGCTGCGAAATTTAAGTCACACCGTACCTTCTGGTACTAGAGGCCTGTTTTTCTAACCCCGTCCTCGCACCCCACAACGGGCTCAAGATCCTGATGCTTTTTTTCCTGGAGCTGTTCTTCAATGTTTGCACATAGCTTACACTATAGTTGATTAGAAAAAACAATTGACTTAAAGTCAGTCTTGGTTACATAATCGTGGAGTTAACAGGCAAAACAGGAGCAAAAGAATAACCAATCACAAGTATAAAAAAAGCTTTATTAGTGCATATATACAAATTTACAAGGTCAGAAACTGGAGAAATACAAACAGCTTTAAAACACAATTTGCTTTTTCTTCAGTTTAAAGTGACTTTTACCTGATTGTGATACAACAGAAAGTACAGAACAGTAAACTGCTTTTTAAATACTGGAATTTTATGGAGAATACATTCACACATAAATGGAAGGTGAGCTTTGGACCAAGGTAAGACAACGGAGACATATCAGTACATACAGTGGCTTTTGTTACATTTACTGCCACATACGTGAGGGAGAAATTCTCAAAATCAAAGACATAAACACCTGCTGCTGCTGCCACCTATACTGTAATTTAAATATGCCACCTAGTATGTGAAATGACTGAGCTATCTTTATCCGTTCTAGAATTTGTGAGGAAGAATACTCTGAGGAGTGTGGCCATGTGTTAGCACAAGGTGAACGACCTGATGTATCTCAGCACTTCAGGGGTGGCAGACTAGAGGAAGAGGTCAGAAAGAGATTCCTATAATCCCAGTTAAGCAAGGCAAAATATAGAGCTGCTTTCTTAATTGCACTTGTTCTGAAGAAGTTAATGAGAGAGAGAGCGCCACACTAGGAACTACAAGAGCCTCCATGAGGCAGGATAATCCTTCACTTTTCGTGAGTGAGTCCTCTACAGAGGTGTCATACTCATGAGCCACATGTTCCGGATTGATGAGGTTAATGTACCTAATGTGCTGAGTTTGCCAGTGTGAGAATAAAGGCAGCCAGGTCAAAGCATTCAGTCACCTCACCTTTCAGCAAAACAGAAAAACTACATTTCACAAATGTGGCAATTTTGTACGTGTATACTCTTGCCCAGGAAATTCATATGCTCTCCCTCATAACATTTATAGTTTATTGACAACAGTAAGACTGGTTAAGACTTGGAAATGATTTAAAAAACAAAATAAAAACAAACAAAAAACGGTAATAAAAATTTAAAAAACTATGTGTTTGGAGCCATTTTTCTTCTCTTCAGTCTTGCTCGCCAATCTTCAGGAAGGGCTTCAAAATTAGCATTTCTCTCTGCCATGCCACTGTGAAAACAACGTACAGATTAAATTACTTCACTGGAAAGAAAAAGAACGAAAGTGTTTATTTCCTAGCAAATAAAAGCTAACTGAAACCGAAAATGTGATATATTTTATCTATGTTCATGAAAATGTTTCAAGTTTCTCAGCTAAGTACCAGCATTATTCTTCATCAAATTTCTTAATTGATAGGTCAACCAAACACATACAAAGCACTCTTCTCTCTAGTTTTATTTATATGTAAGTGCATATTTGTTTTTATATCTCCCCAGTAACCACTGAAGCCATACAGAAGGAAAATAACACATTCTTGTAAAAGTATTTCTTGGTCCCTAGGAGTTATGATTCTTTATCTTAGATATATTTAACACATAGGAAGATATATTTAACTCTTAACATACCATCAGGGACCGTTGGGCCTAATGTTTTTGAGACTCTCTTTTGATCAGTTCTAATTAGGATTGATCTCTCATGGCTTATTCAATCATTTATAAAACCGATTAAGACTCAGATTCTAGGGAATGCCCTGGTGGTACAGTAGTTTGGACTACATGCTTTCACTGACGAGGGCCTGGCTTCAATCCTACAACCTTCGCAGCACAGCAAAAACAAACAAAAACTCAGGTTGTAACTTAAAATTACCAGAATGGGTGCGTTAGACCCTTTTATAAATATAAAATAAGCTAAGATTAATTAGAGAATCTTTGTGACTTCCGATCATCTTGAAATAGTTTGCTATTTCATCACTGTAGGAATTAATCATTACTCAATTCCCAGCAATATTAAAAAAAGATTAAAATAGTAAGAAAGCTGAAGAATAATGGAATCATCTACAAGGATGATACAAAAGTTAAATAAATTATCACTAATACAATCCCTCAGTTTTCTTACTGTGTTGCCCAAAACAGTGCATCTCCTTTCAAGGAAGTAAAAAAGAAGTCTGGAGACATCTTCATAGTCTCCCCTAACCGCTCCCCAATATTATACAATCAGATAAATGCAAAGAGACAGAGGCACTGTAGATTCTAACTGTGATGGTAAAATTGACTGGATAAGTAAAATCTCAGACTATGAGTGATAAGAGGACCATAATCTAGATGAATCTTCTCAAATTCAAGACTGATGAGTGAACATACTGAAGGAAAACAACACATTCTTGTAAAAGTAAGGAAATGTACGGTCAAAAAGGAAATGCAGTATTCTCATTGAAAAGAACAACCTGGGACTTCCCTGGTGGTCCAGTGGTAAGGAATCCGCCTTACAATGCAGGGGATGCGGGTTCGATCCCTGGCCAGGGAACTAAGATCCCACATGCTGTGGGGCAACTAAGCCCGAGCACCACAACTACTGAGCTCGTACACCTCAACTAGAGCCCGTACGTCGCAAACTACAGAGCCCACGTGCTCTGGAACCCGCGCACAACTAGAGAAGAGAAAACGAGTATGCCCCAACTAGAGAGAAGCCCTCGTGCTGCAACGAAAGATCCCACATGCCTCAACAAAGATCCTGTGTGCTGCAACTAAGACCCAACACAGCCAAAAATAAATAAAATAAATAAATAATAAATAAATCTGAACAACCTCCTTCACCCAATATTTTGTAACAAGAACTGGGACCATCGCATTTTCCTTAGAAACCTTTCAGGTTTTATACTGCTACATGCTAAAATTTATTTGATAAGGTTCATAAGTGGGACAAATGCTGAAAGCAGGTGTGTAGTGGCTGGAGAGAAATAGATATTTTAGGGACAAAAAAATTCACTGGAATGACTATTCCAATTAGTGTTTATGGATCTAAGAATGAAAATGTTTTGAATTATGAAGCAAAGATGGCTATCCTCTCCCAATTTTTTTTTTTTTTTTTTTTTTTTTGGCCACACCGTGCAGGATCTTTCCCTGACCAGGGACTGAACCCGGGCCCCTCAGCAGTGAAAGCGCAGAGTCCTGACCAATGGACCGCCAGGGAACTCCCCCAAATATTTTCATAAGTACTGCATTTATGGAGGTTGCAAGTGCAAGAACCAGAAGAAATGATAACCTAGAACCTATCAGAGATGAACCTGAAATCTGGCACCATTTATGAGAGGAGTTTGTTCCAAGTTACGCATGACAACTGAGCAATTAGTTGCATTCAAAGAATGTTGCTCATTTCAGTATGTGTACCTTCAAAAACCATGAAAATAAATAAAAATTTGAGTTAGCTATGTTTAGATTCTTACTAAAATCTCTAAGTTTTCTCTTTATTTTTTATGTCTGTAAATTATCTGTAAAATTTAAAAATATACATATAAAAAAGTCTCTTGGAGCTACGTGGTAAATTGGGATGACTATTTTTCCCCACATACTCAGGGTTAAGATAGCTCTTT